CGTAGTGCGTGTGCGTGTCGGTGAGTGATGTGAGGTAGCGTGCGTGTGTGTGTGTGTACGAGTGTGTGTGTGTGCGTGTGTTTGTCGTGTGTGTGTGTGTGTGTGTTTGTGTGTGTGTATTCATTTACACTATATATATGGGTTTCCAATTTCTATATGATACGTGTCATATAAATTGAGCAATGAAGATCTGTAAATACTAATTTACCGGAGAGCGAGCTCTTATAACTTAAATATGTATACACGTGTGCGTCTACATATTGTTGAAAGTATTATTAGACTGTACTCCCATGTGTGAGCTGAGGATGTATTTAATATGCTTACTTCACTGTCGCGCTGGCGCCAACCCTTCTTGAACTATATAGTTTTAGCTACCTAGTAACATTTAGGAAACTCACCTTGGTTTCTGGAATAAGAACAGCGAACTGACTCCAATCTACTAGCTCAACGGAAGGCAAATGGTGATAGTCCGCCATAATCACGGACACACAATCGGAAAAGAGAACGTCATTGATCCTCGATGAGTTCACCTTGCTATCTGAAAGGGTTAAGTTCATTGATTGCCGGCGAATCAGATAGAAATATCTTTTCAATTGCACTGCATGACTTTTTCCGCTAAGCGTGCCAGTGAGTTCGATTTACGCACCCATCTGATTTCTACGTTAGAATCTGCTCGAAAGGGCCTCGATATACAGGTACATTGAAAATGTCAAAGTGATTGACAACATTATAGGATCGGCACAGAATGTGAAGATTTATATTGACCATTAACGGCCTCCCATCAGCACTCCGCACATGATGCGTTCAAAAAACACACTAGGTACCAATATACCAACCAATACAGTCGCTGTGTTAGAAAAAATAATAATAATATGGTCTCAAACGATACATCCACACGTACATAGCATTACCTCAAGGTATTGGACAATATTTAGTATTTTGCATGGCTTCCACATATTGCATTGGGGCTAGATAGTCTGTGCATGGAAAAAGGCCAAATTGAGAAAGCGTTACAATTTAAAAGGATTTCTGCTAACATTCAAGTAAGTATCGGAACGCCCGGCAAAAATATTCTGATTTTGAGGCGTATATGCACTTTGCGGTAATGCACAATGTATGAATAGTCATTCTCCTCCATCATACAACTGATCACAATGGTCGGATCGTTCCCGTATATTTTCTTTAGTTGAGGTCGCAATCTCCCTCGGTCTATGTTGCCAGCGAAGAATGCCAACTTTTTATCCTTCTTCCGCTAGATTTTTGGCCTGTTATATGAAAGCACAGGTGGCAGGGAACCGTCGCACAGTCTTAGATAGCGATAAATTAACCGTGGCTATGTGTCAGCAGCAATAGCGTTCCGTATGTGTGAACCCTGGTGCAGCAAGCATTATGTATCAGAAACTTTCGAATATAGTGCTCGTGGCGCGAGCAAACTGCTCGACGTTTATGGTAGCTTCAAAATGTGTATGCACTCAAGCATGTAGTGTCGAACATGACCATGGGTATAAATACCACAAGAGAACTGATAGGACAGCACAATAGTACAAACTCGATCGGGGCGAAAGGTATGAGAAGCACTTGACTTTACAGAAGAAAGAGAAACAAGTGGCTCACTTCAATATACTCGATGACTGGTCGCTTATACATCTACACGCGGACTCGCTAGTACACCTAGACATAGCACGCTCACCTGCATCATCACTTCTTTTACTGCCGGCGCATCAAAGTCTATGGTGTTGGGTGGAACAACTATATCCTTGTGTGGAATGAAGTAATTATCTGCGTAATCACCGGTACACACCACTGCTATGGCATTTGTATGCAGACTTCTGAGTGATAGAGCTACTACATTAGCACCCATGTGTATGCACAGATGGAAGTGATTCGCACCTAGCATTTGATTCCAAAAAGGATATACAGTGCTGATGTGTCGGATGTAGCGCTTCAACGCCCTTGCTACAAGTCTCCCACCAATTTAGAGTGTACAGCGACTTAGCATCAGGATGAGGGAATTTCATCACATCTATAGCTTACGTTTGGTTTCGTCTCAAGTCAATCAGAGAGAAACCAGTCATGATAATGGATTGAACATGGTGCACATAATAATCATACAAGCAGAATTGTGCAAACCTTGTGAAACAACATCACGTACGCGAAGCCAAACACCTGCAGCATTCAACAGTAAAACAGAAAACTGGTTTGATATCAGCAATCTCAGCACTTACCCTGTTCCCTGGAGGAGACCAAATCACGCATGCCAGTGCATGAAACGGGAATAAAGAAAAAATTTGCCTCGTCGGGATTGTCGGTACCAGCCCTCGCGTTTCAAGCATGTTTTCTACCAACACACTCCCCACAGCAAAAGTACCCTCGGTTGGGAATGGAACGCTAAGGATGTGAAGTCAAACCATATATATGAGCGTGATCATTAGAAGTTGCTCTTGTAGCTACTCACAAAAGAATAAGACGGAGAAAAAGCAATAGGTTAAGCTTTATTCATCCTATCCAAGCATGCATGAGTCGAATTTTAGACAAGAGAGATTCGAGAAATAGCTACGTCCCGTACATGGTGATCGCACCCTGAATTGTAGGTATCGTCTGGAAAAAAGTTGAAATACAAATATAACAATGTTTCTTTGCTATAGAGATTCGATCGGAATTGATGCTTGAGACCCTTCCCCCTGCGCAACAAGCTTGATTTAGGATCCGAAGCATCTTTACCTATTTGTATACAGTGAAATTGATACATCATCAAAACTTGTCGACAATAACTCGGTACTACGCTCGTGGGAAATCAATTAAGTATCGTGAAATTTTGACGGTAGCATTTGAGAGGTAATGTGCTCGCTACAACACATGTTCATACCTCGAATGGTATTGAGTGTGAAGCCTCACATGGCTGTAAATGAAAATTCTTTGCCCGATAACTATTGAAACTGTAACTCCGCTCATGAACTGGATATATAAAAACATACATTCTGATTCTTAATCATTATGCGGATCTATTACATCCAAATGACTCGATACATACTTCGATCGGATGTTTCCTTACTTACAGATCTATAATGCCCTAATTCGATAGAATACTGGTTGTTAAGAATATAATTCCAGTGACGGCCGAAATATGCGGGAAAGATACATGAAGTGTGCATTATCCCTTACCTTCGTATTAGAATGTGCTCATTTGTGTTTCATGCCATTCTATCAGTACAAATCCACACGCATACGGACATACATACCAGCATGGGTACATCTACATTAGAGTACCTGCACCGTGATTGGTTCTAACGCAATAGCATTTGTCGACACACTTAATCATCCAACATGAAGTGATTAAATTTGCGTAATGCTTGTAAAGCATGTATGGCCACCAACGTATGTACAAAAACTTGCGGCGTTACATGAATAACATATAATTTGTCAATACAAAGTAATGCTCAAAATATGTTGACAGACATCTTATCCGTATAAGCATATTCGAAATTAAGTACAGCCAGCTTAGCCAGCTTGTAAGTAAACTTGTATCTCTAAGCAGGTAGATATATGTGTTCAGCAAATTCCACCTGCAATAGTTATTCGAGGAGTATGGAAATGCGTTTTAAATTGTATATTTATAAGGGTTGAATGATTAAGACTCACCTCCGACTCGCTAAGCGGAAGTCTTACATCTTCGGGCGGATAGATGTATTTTTTATTTTCTGTCGCATCTTCCCATATTCGTCGTATCGACAATACCACCTGTGTCTGATAGATTGGCTAGTCTTTACGATATCCTCCGTTTTCGCATTGCTAGACGAATGATGCGATTCTTATCACGCTTCAAACTTGATTCTGAATCCGAGAGTGGGCTATCTCCTACGAATCACAAGAGTTGAGAGAGTTGACCGTATGACGTCTGTAGCAACTAAAATATGTGATTTATTTACAATTAATTTTTGAAATATATAGCAACCCGGCCAACCGTGATGTAAATACACCGAGAAGTTTCGCGCCAAAATCCACTGCTGGACTCCTGGAGGCTGGAGGCCTGGAGCCATTCAGTGCTTGAGTCTGAACCTAGCCTCCATACATACTAGACCTGGAGGCTGGATGGCTGTCGCCTGTCGGTACGAATCTTTCCAGATCCCAATATCAATTGTCATTTGCGAACATACTTTATCATCTGTGATTTCCCACATTAAAGCAATGTTGATTTCCTGAAAGTTGAAGACTGCTGCAATCTACAAAGTGCTCAAACCCGTTAGTTCTACACTCGAGCGGATATATTACCATATCAAGTGCTAAAAGTCCTGGTTGGCGTATGGCTGAAGCTAAGAGCATGCTTGCAGAGCTTATGTTTTAGGGGTACGATTTTGCTATGCGTCCACCACCTGAGCATATAGCAGCACGCGCATCCCAAATATGGTTCTATTGAGGATATATATATATATATATATGTATGTATGTATGTATGTATGTATGTATGTATGTATGTATGTATATATATATATGTGTGTGTGTGTGTGTGTGTGTTTGTGTGTGTGTAAGTATAATATATATATATGTATATGTATATGTATATATATATATTGTTATATATTATTATATATTGTTATATATTGTTGCTTATTGATGTATTGTCCACCACTAAAGTACGACTAGATGCAGAAGTCAGCTCTCGGTTGTTCTGTATGGCATCCAGGCTCGGAGTTTAAGTTTGCACACACCGCACCCACACGCATATATATATATATATATATATATATATATATATATATATATATATATATATATATACTACTACGTACGTTACCCGTTCCCGTTCCGTTACCGT